CGGCAAGAGGGGACAACAGACGGTGGGGGCGCCCCCCCCCCCCCCCCCCCCCCTCATAAAAAAAAAACAAGTGGGCTCCCCCAAAGTCCACGGTATAGTTTGAACACTGTCTACAGTCATGGCGCGCATACACATTAGGATAGGTTAGATGCCTGCCTCCCTGCGAGTCCCTATCAAGCACTTTACAGATTCAACTACTCTCTTCTTCTCCTCCTGCCTTGCTCTTTGGCCCGCATCACCCACCGCAGAGCAAGCCTGTTCTTGATAAAGCTGCTGTGAAAACGTGGTAAAAGCCGACGAGGAAGAAGAAGTCGGGGTGACGCGAATCTTTTTTTTTTTAAAGATTTTTCTTTATATAGAGCTAAATATGGCGTTATTTTACTGACAAATGTCGAGCGCGCATTATTGTAGCGCGAAAGCACATTAATACAATGCGCGAGCGCGAATCTCTCCGCTCGCGCGCGGATTTCCTTTGCTCTGGCACAAAACCGGACGCGCGCGCTCAGATACACGCTGCTCTCGCCCAGAGAGAGTGCGCGCACTTAAAACGTGTCTCTCCTTTCACTCAAACTGTGTCCTGTGAACTCACAAATCTCTCTGTGCTCATGACATGCGCTATAGATATTAATTTTTTTCGCACCTGAATTAAACGTTGTCAAAAGTTATGCGCGCTCAGATACACGCTGCTCTTGCCCAGAGAGAGTGCGCGCACTTAAAACGTGTCTCTCCTCTCACTCAAACTGTGCACTCACAAATCTCTCTGTGCTCATGCGCTATAGATATGAATTCTTTTCGCACCTGAATTAAACGTTGTCAAAAGTTATCAACCAATCAAATTTCAAAGATGTATCTGTAATTTCTTTACAATTGAATACTACTTAGTCATAATATTATAAATGAATCGGGTGTTTGGATGATTTGTAAATAACCTAGTTTAACAGTTTGGTAAAAAAAAAAATATATATATATCTTCTGATTTAAGACAGAACTATTTAGATATGGGTCAGATGCACTATTCCCTAAACCTATACTTAAGATTTGGAGACCAAATATAACACTATAATGAATTTTTCATATTTGCCATAACATTACTACATTATATTATATGGGTTTAATGCATTTGCAGACAATCTAATTACATGTAACGGTCATATAACTGTATATTCACTGTTTTAGAGAAGAGTGCCATTGAATGTATAGCTAATATTAAGTGGATTTTCATTTTAAAAAATCTTTTTAAAAAATCAGAACTGAAAACACTGGATTAAAACAAATTTAATTTAAAAAAACTCCCAATACATGGCCAAACAGCAATGCTATTAGACCATTTATTGTTATATCTTGCATCATTTATATCTATTTTTACATTTGATGTTGATTTGAGGAGTTGTTACTTATTATTGCCATCATAACAACTGATAATTTATTGCAATGATTTTAAATTCAGTTGAGGTATCTGACATATTATGACATAACATTGATGTTTTATATAAAGTCTTTAGGGCCATAGGCTATAATATGTTGTTTTTAGATAAATTGCTCAGAGACCAACCAGTTGGACAGAGGTTATGTACAAATCATCAAAGCACCCAATTCCTGGCCATTTCTATAGGCTACATTTAATTAACATTGATAAATATTATTAAACTGGAAAGAAATTAAAGAGCCATTAATTAAAGATTCAAAAGAATTCCAGGTTCAGTTTACTCAGCCAATTAGACTTCACGTAGTATTTTCATCGGTCAGTTGTGGAGGTCTGATTGGTTCAAGCTTTATTTATATAGTACCTTTTAAAACAGTGTTTACAAAGTAGCCTATTTTACAGAGAGATGCATGTGTGCATTTGCAGAAAAGATCAAAATACAAAGATAAAATAGATATAGTAAAACAAAGTAGCGACAATAACCAGTTTGTTAAAACAAAAATACAACGATAAAAAAAATCAAGGAAAGACCCTGGACAAATCTGTTTTGAGACTACTTTTTAAAAGTGCATAATGATAACTTTTGACAACGTTTAATTCAGGTGAGAAAATAATTAATATCTATAGCGCATGAGCACAGAGAGATTTGTGAGTGCACAGTTTGAGTGAGAGGAGAGACACGTTTTAAGTGCGCGCACTCTCTCTGGGCAAGAGCAGCGTGTATCTGAACGCGCGCGAGCGGAGAGATTTGTGCTCGCGCATTGTATTAATGTGCTTTCGCGCTACAATAATGCGCTCTCGACATTTGTCAGTAAAATAACGCCATACTACTTCACCGCTCCGTCTATAGCGCATTGTGGTTGGATGTTTACGCTGTCAATACAGGAGACATACCAATGGGCCACTGGCTGCACGCTGTCCGTGCGTGATGGTCCTCGGCAAAAAAAAAAAACATTCTGTCGGCCCCTTAAGTGCGTCAGCCCACCGGGAAAATGCCCGGTATGCCCGATTACCAATCCAGCCCTGCATATATATATATACTCTGTGATTTTGTGGCTTGTGTTTTAGAAAATCAAATCTTTTTGTAATCTTGACAAAACACATATCGTTGGAAAGGTCTGAGAGTCAAGGTTCCATATTTGGTTACTGTTTTGTAATAGAAGTGATATTGTGACAGAATGACTAATAAACACACGACTACGGCAATATACGGTTTATCTGAGTTCTTATTATTATAATTTTCATTAAAATAATGTATATTTATAAGGCAATGCCTTTATCACTGCTTAAATACTATGAAATATGTTGCGTGCCTTATTCTGTGTAAGAAGCCACATCATCTCACAGAAGGATTTATTTCAAACACTCGACTGACGTTATGAAGTGAGTTTGGCATAAAAATATGTTATTAAATGTGGTATTTTCACATGCTTTCAGACGGAGCAGCATTTACTACACAGAGCCACTGAGAAGCTATGCAAACAGCTGTCATTATCGCGAACGATTTCTTCGATTTCAGAATCGTGCAATAAAATCTGTGATTTTTTTGCGTAACTTGTCAGTGAACTACGGCTCTGTGTAGTAAATTCTGCTCCATCTGAAAGCACGTGATGATGATTTCCTGCTGATTACAGAACCTGCATTACTCTCAAAATGCGTATGACAATCGCATTCGATTAAGCGTGCAGCCCTACATATAAGACTAAAATTATCCGCAAAATAATGTCAGTTAATTGTAATGTGTAAAGAGGAAGACTAAAAAGAATGTTCCAATACAGTGCACGCCTTACACGGGCTGTAATTAAATTAAAAAAGACAAAACAATGAATTTTTCCAAACCCATTGCCTCTCCCTGAATCTGATTGGTAGAGGTACAACGCCCCGCCCCTACACGCAGGTATATATATATATATAATATCAGTGAACAGAATTGTTTGCAGTTTGCTTGTCGCTATAACAAGGAACGAGGAAGAATCAAGACAACTAATCCTATTCAAGCATGTATTGTAAGATGATTGTGTCGTTTTTGGTCGTGACTTTGGCCGTGGCGAGCGCTGGGATTCCTGGAGGCCCTGTAGATGCAAACATTAACGATGAAGATGTTCAGAAGGCGTTACGGTTCGCAGTGGCCCAGTACAACAGACAAAGCAACGATGCGTTTGTGCGTAAGGTTTCCAAGGTCATCAAGGTCCAACAACAAGTAAGTACCGGTACTTTAAAAGTTTATTCGGTTTGTAATCGTTTAAACTGGGAACGTCGCTGAATCAAACCCAGTGATAAAGTTCCTCCTAGAACGCTGTCCCAGTTGTACAAAGAGAACAACAGAACCGTTTGCCTTAACTTGAAAGCTATTTATATTATATGCTACAATTTTATGTAAGAGTAAAGAATTGTTAAGCTGTGATTTGCTCGACCTGTTCAATAAATATAGAAACTTGGAAAGATAGAGAGCCAGCTTTCTCCAGGATGACTTCGTAACAGTGGTGGCTGACCTTAACTTGAACTATTGGAAGAGGGGGAAAAAAAACAAAAACATTTGGGCCCCATACAGGTTTTTTTTATATATACTCCGGGTTGGCCCTACTATGTTTGAACATGTTTCTGGTTGACACTCCAGGTTGTCGCTGGCACGAACTACATCTTCACTGTGAAGTTGGGCAGAACCAACTGCAAAAAAGGTGGAGTTGAGACCCTGTGTGCCATTCATAAGGATCCCAAAGTTGCACGGGTAAGACACACGGTGTCTACTTTACAATATTGTGACTGTTTACATTTTTCGATTTCCATGTTAAGAGACATTGACCCTTTTCTTTATTTTTTTATAATATCTTTTCCTTCAAGGTCATTCAGTGCAAAATAACGGTCTGGAGCAAGCCATGGTTAAACTTCCTTAAAGTCACTGAAAACACCTGCATATAGAGCTTGTGATGAGTGCAGTTTGGGGCTTTTTTTAACATTCAAGCGGCAATAAAATTTACTTGCTGTTGGTAATGGTAAACTTAGTCTTTATTCTTGATAAAATAGAAACTTTATTTGTCCTGAGAACCTGTCAACAAATTATGATAAGAATACTTAACACACAATCATGTAATCTCATTAGACTCCGTTGCTCTGAAAAAAGCTACAATTTGTAAGTATTTCTAAATGATAAAACGCATGTTTCTATATTAGTTCATCCTTTACTATTAAAACATGGTTTAACAGTATGTCTGTGCGCCCAGCCGGCACATGACCGACCTTCACCGCTGAAATAATGACAGTTGTTTCAACGTTGAAACAATTAATGCTAAATGGTTGAAAAAGGTTAAACGCTCGTAAGTCAACGTTGATTTTTTTTTATTTTTTTTTTTAAACAAGATATGTATCATTATATTTTTAGTATTTTACAATATTGATCATGAAACCCATTCTAAAATCTAAAGGTATGTTAAAATATTATCA